ATCCATCCATCCATCCACCCATCCATCATCCATCAATCCATCCATCCATCATCCATCCATCCATCATCTATCATCCATCCATCCATCCATCCATCCACCCATCCATCATCCATCCATCCACCATCCATCCACCATCCCATCCATCCATCATCCATCCATCCACCATCCATCCATCCATCCACCATCCCATCCATCCATCATCCATCCATCCATCCACCCATCCATCATCCATCCATCCATCCATCCATCCATCCACCCATCCATCATCCATCCATCCATCATCCATCCACCATCCCATCCATCCATCATCCATCCATCCATCCATCCACCCATCCATCATCCATCCATCCCTCCATCCATCCATCTCCTACTCCACTGGGATCTCCCATTCCCAGACAAGCCATGATTGGGAAAACTGAGTGACCCCAAAAAGGACCAAATGACACCCAAAAAAGAGTGAATGACACCCAAAACTCCAGTGATCCCAAAAAGGACCAAGTGACACCCAAAAACCCAGTGATCCCAAAATTCCGGTGACAACCAGAAAGAATGAAATGACACCCAAAATATCCAGAGATCCTAAAAGTCCAGTGATCCCCAAAATGACCAAATGACACCCAAAAAGGAGCAAATGACACCCAAACCTCCAGTGGTCCCAAAAAGGATCCTAAAAGTCCAGTGATCTCAAAAATCCTGTGACCCCAAAAAGGCCTAAATGACACCCAAAACTCCCGTGATCCCAAGATTCCAGTGGCACCCAAAAAGGTCTGAATGACACCCAAAAGTCCAGTGATCCCAAAATTTTGGTGACACCCAAAAAGGTCTGAATGACACCCAAAAACCCAGTGATCCCAAAATTCTGGTGACATCCAGAAAGAATGAAATGACACCCAAAATATCCAGTGATCCTAAAATTCCAGCAATCCCCAAAATGACCAAATGAGACCCAAAAAGGAGCAAATGACACCCAAAACTCCAGTGATCCCAAAAAGGACCAAGTGACACCCAAAAAGGAGCAAATGACACCCAAACCTCCAGTGATCCCAAAAAGGATCCTAAAAGTCCAGTGATCTCAAAAGTCCCATGACCCCAAAACGGCCTGAATGACACCCAAAACTCCAGTGATCCCAAAACTCCAGTGATCCCAAAAAGGACCAAGTGACACCCAAAAAGGAGCAAATGACACCCAAAACTCCAGTGATCCCAAAATTTTGGTGACACCCAGAAAGGACCAAATGACACCCAAAAACCCAGTGACCCCAAAAATGACCAAGTGACACCCAAAAAACCCAGTGATCCCAAAATTCCGGTGACAACCAG